TGCTGATAAAGTCCACATGTTTCAAGGCTGTAAACCTAAAATTTAAGATATTTGTTCTTGTCTGACAAAATGCTCTTACTTTCTTTTTCACAGTATGAAGTGCTTCTTTGTGTCCAAGACCATGATGATCCTGCTATTGATGTATGTAAAAAGCTTCTTGGCAAATATCCCAATATTGATGCAAGACTATTTATAGGTGAGTGAGGGAAAAAAATGTCTTTTATGGTGTTGCCTTTTAATAAATAGAAACAAATGAAGAAAAATCAAGGACAATAATGCTAATCTGCCAATATCAAGGAATTCTTTTAAAAACATTCTCACTGTAGATAGGTAAAGTAAAAGCAAACAAAATTTGTAGGTAATTGCTCTATATAAATGATTCTATATTTATCAGAAATATACATAAATCTGGAATTATATTTCAGATCATAGGAGCCTTGTATATCTCAGTCATACAAAAAACCCGTTAGATATTGATAGAACACTCCTGTTGGCTGCAGTTAGTCCAGAAAACCTCAGTGCAGTGCCTATGACTGAAAAAAGTTTTTAAATGTTTGTATTTACATTGCTTCAAAACTTTAGTTTCAAAATGTTGTATCTCAAATGCAAAGGAAAAGTTAAGAGCATCAATCTATCTCTGGCATTTATCATCTGTTCTCTTTGACTGACAAGCCATTTTGTAACCATGCTTGTGATTAATGTTTTTGCAAATATATTCAACCTAAAGGACCTGGTGTCATTCCTAAACCCTTAACATTTTGTGCTTGAGGACAAGCTGTTATTAAACTGTAACGTGCAATGCAGCCAAAATATTATAGAGAAGATGAATTGTTACACCACTGCTGGATAGATGAGCCTCTCTGTCCCCCTGCCACTGTTTGTCTCATTAGGCTGTTTATTTGTTATGTTAGGAAAGCTGGTTAGAAAATAAAAAAATAAAAATATAAACCTCCTGGAAGGGCTGACCAATACAGCTTGGCTTCTGTATGTGTGGCCATCAAACAATATTTGCATGTAGTGTGGATGCTATATTATCTATACATATATGCTTCCCCTACTTTGATGTAGACAGGTATATGATTATCAAAGGATCTATGAACTCTACTTATGATTTCCAAGTTCAATCTGCACCCTTTGCTTATGCTATGGTTATTGAAAGTCAAAATTACTATTTTTTCCCCAGAGAATACATACTTTTCAGCTTGAGAACCTGATTAGTGACTATGCACCTCAGTGTTGATTAGCCAGGAGCCTGACATTTTCTAATGCACCACCTCTTTAGCACCATTTTATATGGAAATAAGTGTATTCTAAAAAGAAGTGTATAATTTGTGTATATAAGGTAACTTATTTTTTTCCCCTTTAAGGTGGTAAAAAGGTTGGGATAAATCCAAAGATTAACAATTTAATGCCAGCATATGAAGTTGCCAAGTATGACCTCATATGGATTTGTGATAGTGGCATTAGAGGTAAGTTAGTTTGGTGTATGGACATTTAAAAAATATCTCTTGAATGCATGCTGTTAAATTTGATGATAATGGTAACTGTAGGGTAATTTAAGTTTCCTAAGGCTTCAGCATTTGATAAGGAAACAAAAATATTAAATATCAAAAAATGTCAAAGCCAAGCCTGTTGGGGTCTAGCTTTAAATCAGCAGAGTAGCAGAAATGTGCCTTGTTTAATGCTTCCCTAAGAACTGAGATTGACTCCATAACAACACAAGTAGCTTGTAGTTCAAAATAAAAGTTTACTAATGGCTTTAATGTATATATACACAAACACTATATTCTAATCTAGCTAGTGAATAGTTTAGGTAAAGAGAAATATTTATCTCACCATCTTTCCAAAGAAAGTTCAGAGAGGAGGAAGATGGAATGCATGCAGTTCAGATGAAAATCTTTTAGAGAGTGTCTGTTAGTCCTAAAGGGGGAGTGACCTAAATCACATGGTTAGTTTGAGAGTGTGTGTGTGAAAGAGAAGTTTGCATGCAGGAAATCCCTATCTAAGGAGGGAGGAAGAAAATGCAAAAATTCAAAGCTCAAAAATCTTCCAGTAGTAACTTATTCCATCAGCATATGGACTTTATAGATCATAAACAAAATTTATAGGTCGCTATCCAGAGAAGGTTAAGATTTAAATTTTAGGAATCTGAAAATGCAGGGAATGATTGCTATGAAAGAAAGGTGACATGAGGCATTTGTAAGTAAACACCTCTGAAGTGAGGTTAGATTGTCCCAGTTTTGGGTATCTAAAAGCAATAATATGTAAATTATTATTATTATTATTATTATTATTATTATTATTATTATTATTATTATTATTATTATTATTTCTATCCCGCCCCTCTGCTGAATCAATCGGGGCGGCTTACAAAATTAATTATGTTTCATCATGAATTAATTACACTACTTGCTTTACTGTAGCTATTACTCTTGGATGAAGTTTGGGGAATAAGACTAGGAAATAACATTACCACAGCACATTTTTTAAAATTAAAGCATGAATTTGGTGGTTCTAGATCTGCAGCAGTTAGATCAAGTGAATGACACTGCCCAAACTAAATAGTTTGTGTCTCATCCTTTTAGCAGGTAGACAGAACTTTGGTAAACAAACTAGTCACTTGACTATATGACATAGTATTTCAGACTGTAGCATAGTCATTGTTTCTAACTGTATCAGGCACATGTCAAGCAACCCCCCCCTCTCCAAACCTGAATTACATTTAAACGTTTGCATGTCTTTATTGTTTACTTCACATTATTAAAATTGGGGATGTAGATGTATTTATGACATTTGTATTTGTCTTCTGGCAATTTTTCAACAGTGCTTGAGTACTATAAAATTCGGATTTGGAATGTTGTAACTGTTTTGTAACCATATGTATATGGTTGTAATTAAAAGCTTTTTTTTATTGGTTATAAAATGTGAACTTTTTGTAGTTGAAATATTTGGTATAATTGAGAAGTTAATATTTTCCTGTAAGTTTAAGGTATATTAAGCCTCAAATACATGTTTTTTAAAACATTAATTCATGGATATTAACCACAGTCCACACTCTTATTTTTAGTAACACCGGATACACTAACTGATATGGCCAATCAAATGACAGAAAAAGTCGGATTGGTCCATGGCCTTCCCTATGTAGCAGATAGACAGGGCTTTGCTGCCACTTTAGAACAGGTGAGTACTCTTTCATGCACTGAAATTCTTTTTTTCTGTTATTTCCTCTTATCCCATTTTGTAAATTCTTGAGAATTATGACATTTCCAAAGCTCAAAAAGCACAGAAATATCAACTTTTTGAATACAAGAAATGTATAAGAATAAAAAATGTCTTCCTGTTTTTCTTCATATTCTAAAACAAAATTATATGTTATTTAATATATGTGAGGAATAAAACATTTTATATCAGTGTCTTGCTTATAATTTCATATAAAAAAATTATAGTTTAACAGTCCTGTATGCAGTAAACCTTTCAGCTGGGCTTTCTAATGGGTCTGAGTGAGAAAGTAATTTGAACTTTTTGGTTGCTTTCAATAATGGTTAATCCTTCTGTGGCCATTATTTTTGTGGGAGGTTCGAGGCTGCATCATTTAGTCATTTGTTTAGGTTCCTGAATTCTATGCTAATGGGTTTAATTCAATATTATACAAGTGGAATTCTGCTTCTGCAATGAGATGTCCCTTCTTTTCTTCCACCCTTTGCACATACACATATATACACTGAAGTATTTTTGTGGTGACATAAAGGGGCTATGTGGAGAAAGGGGATTATCATCATGCTCTGTTCTGAAAGTTTAAAACTTAGTATTGTTAAAACAAAACTGATAACATATTCTTTTGATCAGCATATTTCACAAGAATGGTATGGGTGCAGATTTTTTTCCAGTGGCTAGCATAATAGTATTCATTTATATGCAATAATGGGAAACAATAAAAAAA